TGAGCTTTCCTTCTCTGCCTCTCTATTGTATAGTTAGCTAATATGTTTATCATTTTAAGGCAGTGAGATTAGCATGTAAAATCAATTAATTTTATTCATGTGCCTGATTATTTTTATGTGATGTGATAGAAACATCCATAATTTATTTCAACTTTTAACAGAAGAAAACTGGGTTTAAATTGAAACGTGTGAGGTTTATGTTGGACATTAGGAAAAACTTCTTGTCAGGGTAGTCAGGTGCTGTAATAAAGAGTTGTGGAATCTCCATCAATGGATACAGCAGATTAGATAAACACCTGTCAGGGATGATCTAGAGATGGTGCTTGGTCCTGCTATGAGTGCAAGGGGCTGGACTTGATGACCTCCTGAGGTCCCTTCCAGTACTACTATTCTCTGATTCTATGCTATTTGGATTGGTCTGAAAAAAGGGAGTTGAAAACTGTGTTTATTCCTAACCATGGGAATTACGTTTATTTTAGTCTTTTGTGTCTCCTTGGAATATTTCTATAATCCAGCCTCCTCTTTCAATAGCTCTGGTTAGCCCTAGCATCCCTGTGTGTGCTTGATCAGGACCACGTAGATAGGCTGTCTTCTGGAAGATGGATGGGAAAGGATGGTCAACAAAAACAGATGGTAAGATACCGAATTCAAGATTTTTTTTTTCCTGTTTTAAACTTGGATTGTATTGAATTTACTTGTCAAACAACCAGCAACCGTGACAGAGATTACCACTTAATATGTAGAGAAAACATTCTCGTGTTTCCTCATGAGGTGGTTCTATCCAGACAATGTTCATTCTATTTGAAAATAGATTTACAGACATTTAGTGATGAATGTGAGCTAATTTTCACTAAACAAGGCAAACTTTGGATTGGAAGCATTACTGCACTTTTGTTTCTTACATTTCTGCCAGGCATAACTGTTTTTAGATATTGATCATTTCAAAGCTGATAATTTATAGTTTAAAAGATGTGCAAATTGTGTCCTGTTTTAATTTTCTGCCTTCCTTTTTGGGGAGCCCAAAGGAGAGAGGAGTTTAGGTGTGAAAGGGATTTAATGTGTAGGAAATTATTTTACTGTTTTTCTTATTTATTCAGCCAATGTGCGATAACCATGATGATGGTGAAACCCCTGCAATCATTTTATGTAATGCCTGTGGAAATTTGTGTACAGACTGCGACAGATTCCTTCATCTCCATCGGCGAACGAAAACTCATCAGAGACAGGTAGAATAGATAAACATTTCAGTAGATTTTTTTAATACCATCAGATCAGAAAGTAATTAGTGGCAGTAAGCAATAGATCTCCAAACTTACACTTTGTTTTCAAGCTCTCTCCTGAGGGAGGGTAAGAGCTTGGGGTACTCCACAAGAAGAAGTTCCCAAGTGACTCTTCCTGGGTTCAGAAAAAGGGTTTTTTGCACTTGAGTGGTGGCAGCGTACCATCCAAGGTCAAGGAATCTGTGACCTTGGGCAGTTTTTAAGCAGAAGCCTATAGGGACAAGGTATTTTTAAAGTCTCTTCTGGGCCCCCCTTCTGCACGTAAAATGCCAGAGTGCGGAACAGCCTTGACACCAAGTTTTAAAGAGGCTCATGTGCTGGGTCTCAGACCAGGGTTTTTGAGCTGAGCAGGCTTGGTGCAGGCAAACCTGAACAAATCTGCACCTCAAGCTCCAAGGGTTATCCTCATCATTGATTAAAATCCATTTGACAGCTATTTTCACCTTCCAGTTGGTCTTGGCTCATGACATGACAGTGCTGTTTTTAAAAAAGTCTGGAGTATCTCTACCCACAGAGATCCCATACCTGCCTGGGACCTGAATCTTGTGCTATTCTCCTTTTAAGCCTCTAGCTTCTTGCTTCCTTTTCTTATCCTGGAAAGTTTATTTCCTGGTGGTTATAATATCTGCACATAGGTTCTCTAAGATCAGGGTGCTTACTTCAGAGGCACCCCTATATGATCTACAAGGACAAGGTCCAGTTGCAACCTTGTGCAGAATTCCTTCCCAAAGTAGTTTCACAGTTTCATACCAGCCAGGACATATATTTAATGGTCTTCTTTCCAAAGCCTTACAAATCGGAACAGATTTAATGCCCTGCATGTGAGGGAAGGCACTTGCCTTTTAAATCAAAAGGACAAAGCCATTTCATACTCAATGCAGTTGGTTGTTGTAGTGGCAGGCACAATGCAAGTTTGCCCAGTGTCTGTGCAGAGGGTTTCATCCAGGTTCATGGCTTGTATCCATTACTGCTATGATTTGGAAAAAATGCCTCTATTGACAACCATGACTACCCACTTAACTAGGGCACAGGCTTCATTGGCAGCTTTCCTGGCCCAGCTACCGAGTCAAGATATATGTAGGGCCGCTACCTGCTCGTCTATTCACACTTTTACATCTCATTATGCACTCATCCAGAAAACCAAAGATAATGCTACCTGTGGCAGAGCACTGTTGCAAGCCACCTGACCGTAAACTCCAAACCCACCTCCAGGGATACTGCTACCAATTCATCTGGAATGGAATTGACATAACAAGCACTCAAAGAAGAAACAGTTACCTGCCTTTCATAACTGTTGTTTTTTGAGGTGTGCTGTTTAATGTCCATTCCATTACCTGACCCTTGGTCAAAGTTGGCAGCAAGAAGGAGCTGAGAAGAGGTAAGGCCAGTGGCACCTAATATACTAATGCATGATCATTGCATTTAAGAGGCACCATAGCCGATATTTGTCTTACCAATATGAATATTGGTAAGGTAAAAATCTCCGACAGCTGTGAATATGGGTATGCACATACCTAGAATGGAATGGACATGAGCAATGCATCTCACTGAAATGATTACGAAAAGTAGGTACCTTTTTTCTGTTTCTGTTGCAAAGAACAGCGGGTATTCTGTGGTAGCGACAGAGCCTATATATATGTACAGGAAGGCTCTCCCACTTTCATTACAATAGTATATGTAAAATCAATTCAAGCAGTGTCTTCCTACCTGGGAAAGGCAAAAAACTAGATGACACTATATAGTGTCACTACACTATACAGTCCCCGAGTTACGCGGATCCGACTTACGTCGGATCTGCAGTTACGAACGGGGTTTGCTGCCCGTCTCCCTGGTCTGCTGAAGACCAGCAGACCAGGGAGATGGGAAGCAAAGCCTCTGAGGACGCCGGCAGCAGGACAGCCACGGTGCGTCTGGGCTGCCCGCGTGCTCCGCGGCTTTGCTCCACGTCTCCCCAGACCAGGGAGATGGGGAGCAAAGCCGGGGAGTACGCGGGCAGCGGACAGCACAGACGCGCTGTGGCTGTCCCGCTGCTGGCATCCTCAGAGGCTTTGCTTCCCGTCTCCCTGGTCTGCTGGGGGTGGGGGGCGCAGCTAGTACCCCCCCACCCCCCAGCAGTCCAGGCTTTTCTCCGGACGCCTGGGGCAGAGCAGCTGGGTGCTGGTGGATTTGTCCAGTAGCGCTGAGGAGCGGCGCTACTGGAGCAACCCAGCAGCACCCCAGCTGCTCTGCCCCAGGCGTCCTGATTCAGCCGCTGCTGAAACTGACCAGCAGCGGCTGAATCAGGACGCCTGGGGCAGAGCAGCTGGGTGCTGGTGGATTTGTCCAGTAGCGCTGAGGAGCGGCGCTACTGGAGCAACCCAGCAGCACCCCAGCTGCTCTGCCCCAGGCGTCCCCAAGTCAGCCACTGCTGAAACTGACCAGCGCTGACTACAGGAAGCCCGAGGCAGAGTTGCTCTGCCTCGGGCTTCCTGTAGTCAGCCACCGGTCAGTTTCAGCAGCGGCTGAATCTGGACTCCAGTTCCGACTTACATACAGATTCAACTTAATAACAAACCTACAGTCCCTATCATATAGTTCTTATGGGATCTTGCTATCTAATTGTAGTATATCTCAGAACTATTTAGTTACTACAGTGATGGGCATTATAAGAAACCAGAAAACAAAATAATTATCAATGTATTTGTTGTCATACTAGTGCTTGTTATTTATAAACCTAAGCTGATTTTTGAGATGTAAACAATTTTACACAAGAGGTTGTAGGGTAATTTGATGTCCTGAAGTTCAAAGCTTTAACTGAGAAACTTCACATCATTCTGTTTTTCAGATAACTGTATTGCTTGTCAATGTTCTTGTTTCCTTTGTTGACTCTCCTGCCAATCCATATTATAATTTTGTAGCTTTTAACCTTGTGTGTATTCCAAGCAGTCCCATCCTTACCCTAATGCAGAATACGCAATTGTTTAGGGCACCTGAAAATTTGAGGCACTTAATGTCCACCCAAATGCCTTTTCCTATCCTGGTTTTGTGGCTATGCTTCTTCTGGAGAGGATCTAGTTAACTTAAAAGTGAAAATATCTGCCAGGCCTATTAGCAAAACACTGAACTTGTGAAAGGGCCATTCAAGTGGTAAGCCATTTAACAGACATTTGCCAACTCCAGGCATATACTGTCAGCTTCTGAATTTACTTTGTTTGTCTATAAGCCCTTAGTTTAAAATTTGCTTTAAAAATATTTCATTAGTGTGTTGCTGAAGATTATAAAATCGCCTCGCTAAAAAATTGCTTCCCCTCGGGTGCTATCAGGAATAAAAGCATCAGTTAAATAGTACCATAAATCCTAAGTATGGCCCAGGTTTCAAATAATCATATCATCTCAATCCTGCATGCACAAACATTACAGAATTTATATTATCATATTCAAAAGTCATATTTTAAAACTTCGAATACAGACTCCATAATATACATGAAAATTGTGACAAATGCATATTTGCAGGTGATACCAAAACTAAAGTATCTTCTAATTGTTTATTAACTGATATTGGTGTAAGAATACTATATAATTACCATATGGTTAACTGATAGGTATTCAAAGAAGAGGAAGAAGCTATCAAAGTTGATCTTCATGAAGGCTGTGGTAGGACCAAACTTTTCTGGCTCATGGCACTAGCAGATTCTAAAACTATGAAGGCTATGGTGGAGTTTAGAGAACAAACAGGTAAAAACTAGATATTTCTTGATCCTTACTTATCCTGTTTTTTAAGCTTCTCCAAAAAATCAGTTTCTGGAAATGTGACTCTTAATCTTTGCATTAGTGCTTTATTATTTTTTATTTAAAATAAAACACTGAATCCTAGCATAATGGTTATGCTTTGAAACATCATGTATATGTTTGAGTTTAGAAACTTTGTAAGCTCATATTTTTGTTTTGTTTATATACAGGGCCTAACACAGTGTTATCAAGATTAAGGATCCTAGGCACTACAGTAAACAATTTAAAATTATTAGATATTTACCTCTAAAGTGCTAGAAGTTTTTTAATGTGGCATTCTTAGGTTGATGATACCTCTTTATTCACTCATCGAACTCCTATTTTAGTCAAAGGCAGTACTACTAATTAAGAATAGCCCATAAATAATTGCCACCTGTGCATACATTTGAATTATTTATAAAATGCTTTTATTTTCTTTTGAGGAAGGTAAGTAAACTGTATAGAAAAAACCTTATCTATCATGGACAAACATGAAGATGGGTAATTAGAAAAAATATATAAATTAATAGTTTCAGTACCCTTGAACAATGTTTAATGCTAATTTTTTCAAAAAAAAACAAACTTTTTCCATTTTCCTAAAATACAAACATTTTAAAAGTATCAATAAGGTTTAGCCATGGACATAATGTCCACTTGACTTTTGAGTAGTCATTATTTTCCAAGTATTGTGTTACATTTACAGAGCATTTTAGTGGTAAAATTATAGCCGTGTCATTAATTACATCCTTTTCACAGAGATCAGAATGTTCATATATGTTGGCCCCTGTGCAGCACCTATAATAAGAGAAACCATCTGTGTACCTGCCTGCTTCAATGTACTCCTCTTGTTGCCACAAGTAATAGGAAAAATACTCTATTATCTTACCCTTGGCTGATGTCTGAACAGCTTAATTTTAACTTTAATAGTATGAGGTTGGAGGGAATCCCAAGAATCAGAAGTGCTTTATTGCATTTAGTAAAACAAAGTAAAAAAAATCCATATACTTCACTCATGGTTTTTCCATTTTCCCCCTTCCCTCCTCAAGGGATACTGTTCCTTTCATTGTAGCTAGTGGATTTAGAGAGTACACACATTTCTGCTTTTAAAATGTAGCTCCCTGTACACTTGTTTAAGCTTTAGGGGTGCAAATGTGATGGTTCTCCCTTCCCTCCCCTCCCATACTTTATGAAAATAGGCTTATGATTATTATGATGCGTAACTCAGAGATGCTTTGAACAAAATACCCGATGTAACCTATTAATTTGTATGTTGCAGTCTGCTGGATCTATATAACCTATTTTGATGCATGTATCATCCTTGCATCGTTTTAAATGGGCTAATGAGAGCCATTACATGTGCTTCCGGAAGCCTTAACAACTTGGTGTTCAACTTAATGACTTGTAAACAGCCTTGTTCTTTGTCGGGAGGCATCCCTGGGGGTGCTCTACATCAGGTGTTGAGCGCCCCAGTGCTTTTCAACCAATTTTTCTCAGCAGTGTATCAGGGACCGCGCATGCACAGCGTGCAAGAGCCTCCCTCAGTACTATCGCGCATGCGCAGCCCCCCTCTCTTCAGTTCCTTTCCACCGTCCCCAGCTTCAGACGGAACTCTCCTGCTCTCGCAAAGACTTCTCCTCATACACTTCTTTCTTCAAATAGTTGTTTAATACTAGCTTATTTCCAGTTTTTGTTAATAGTTATTTCACTTGTTTGGAGTTAGTGTAAAACAAACAAACAAAAACAAAAAACTGCATGCAGTCTTGAACTCCGAACGCCAGCCACCCAACTTTAAAAAGCTGTGGGCTTTGCAAGAACTCAATGCCTGTCTCCAACTGCACAAAGCTGAAAAGGCGCAAAGACAGAGAGCTTCGCCTTAAAATGTCCTTCTCTGACAAGGACATACACCATACTTCCGATCTGGGCTCGGATCTGAGCAATACACCAAAGAGGCAAACGTTCCTTAAGCCATCAAAGGCAGGGCGAGCTCTGTGAATCAGCAGCCCAGAAAGCAGCACACTGAAGGGAGAAAGTCACATTGCTCAGGCAATAACTGCTTGAGCACATTTGACCACCCAGGGGCGAGCACAAAAAGGACAATAAGAATGTAACATGTCTGCCCTTACTGAGGCAACAGGTCTTCCCATGCTTGCCTCACATTCCGCGCTCTGACACATTAGTGCTTGCCCTCCCACCGGCCATACGAACTCTTCCCGGTCCTATCACAGCACTGAGGAATCTCCTCACAGACCAATCACTGGGTGCCGGCCCCCCCTCCCATTACCAGGGACCCCTCAGACTAGCGCTGCCTCAGCAACACAGACAATTTGTTTATAGTCAGCAGAGCTATCCACGCTGCATACGCCCCTCATTAGCCACAAGTACTACAAAGACCTGGCAATTTCTCCCAATTTACATTCGCCTAATTTGACTGATAACATACATCCTCAATCTCCATTCTCTGATTACTCTGACTCCCTCTCTGAGGATGAGGAAGAGTGTTTACCTGCTTTTTTACCTCAGCTATATATGAAGGGCTCTATATGGTCTGCTTATCAGCAACAACCAGATTTTCTTAGAGCACAAATGGGTCCCTGGGTTCCTTATTTTTGGATGCCACTGCCTATGCTTTGCCCCCCACAGTGGCAAATGTTCAATCAACCACCTCAACAATATAAAAAAGACCATGTAAGACCAAGCATATGGTGAAACCCTGCTCTCCTTTAAACCTGTCACCCCACACTTCTATGAGGGGAACTGACAGTGAAAGCCATTGCTCCCCAATGTTGGCTTCTACATCTCTATTACTTTCAACCGCAGCCTCAGCCATAGAGCAGGCAATGTTACCACCTACTATTCATACCACTGATGATCTCTCCTCTTTCCAAGATTTATTTAAAAGAGTTGCTAATGATTTGAATATATCTATGGAGGAAGTTCAGGTTTCTCACTAACATCCTCCAGCCCAGTACAGCAATAAAAATGGCACTTCTTATTAATCCAGCCAGCTTGGAACCAGCTAAAACCCTATGGCAAACACCTGCATCCATCCCCCCAACATGCAGGAAAGCCGATCGAAAATACGATGTTCCCCCCAAGGGTTCTCAATTCTTCTTTTCACACACCCCATCCAACTTCCTCATAGTAGACGCTGCGCAGCAGAGAAACAAACAACAGAATTGTTCCACCCCATTCCGAAAAGGACAATAAACGTCTGGACACATTCGAAAAGAAGGTTTATGCCTTGGCCACTCTTTAGATGAGTGGCAAACTACACTGCTTTACTAAGTAAATACGACTTTAATAATTATACAAAATTCAATGCTTTTATTGAAGATATCCCTGACAGCAAAAAGGCACAGTTTCAGGCTTTTGTCTCAGAAGGCCAGATAATATCGCGAATAGCCCTGCAAGCTGCACTTGATGCAGCAGACACAGCTAAGAGGACTACGGCAACAGCAGTCACTATGACACGAGCCTCATGGTTCAACTCTTCTGCATTGTCCTGCCAAGTCCAACCATCAGTAGAAGACCTTCTGTTCAATGGAGAAAAGCTGTTTTCTGCAAAGACCAATGAGCTGCTCCAATTGATGTAAGATTCCAGAACTATATTGCAGTTACTTGATACCCAAACCCCTATGACGAGACAGAGACAGTACAGTTACCAACCATATCATAGGTACCCACAGTTCACTTACCAGTACCAGAGACAAGACCATGCCCCGTACCAACAGAGGGGGCGCAATAGGCAACACCGACATCGCCCTCAGACTAATAACCCCAACCGCTCATCCCAACCCAGCAAACAAATTTGAAACAACAGTCGAGAGATGTAGAACCACACCATAAGCACCAGAGCTTGAGATTGGTTCCAAATCTCCTATTTTGTTTATTACCTTTCCTTTCAAATTGGGTAACTCAGACACTTTCCCTAGGATATACCATCCCCTTTCTCTCCCACCACTCTCCCCAACCACCCACCCCGTCCCTCTTCAGGGACCCCTCTCACGAAATCATACTACAACAAGAAGTGGACCGTCTTCTCGAATTAGGAGCCATAGAACCAGTACCCCAAGAGTTCCACGGAACCGGTTTCTACTCACATTATTTTCTTGTAGAAAAGAAAACAGGCAGTTGGAGACCAATCCTTGAGCTTTGATTACTAAATAAATACATAAGGAATCAAAAATTCAGAATGGTTACCCTAAATACTATTATCCCAGCTCTGGAGTCTGGTGACTGGCTTTCTTCTCTCGACTTGCAGGACGCACATTTTCATGTATCCATTTGTCCCCTCAGAAACATTTTCTCCGTTTCACTTTAAGTCCCCAATACTATCGGTATACCATACTGCCCTTTGGTCTCTGCACTGCACCAAGGGTATTACAAAGATGCTTGCAGCTGTCACTGCTCACCTCAGAAAACAAGGAATCACAATTTACCTGTACTTATACGACTGCCTTATCAAAGTGAGGACCAGTCAAGACTGTTATCAAGATACAGGCAGTCCCCGACTTACGCGGATCCGACTTATGTCGGATCCGCACTTACGAATGGGGCTTTTCTCGCCCCGGGAGCTCACGGGCGGCGGGTCACCACCCGTGTCCTCCGGGGCGAGAAAAGCTTCTCCCGGTCTCCCTGGTCTGCTGGGGGGGTGCAGCAAAGCCGCTGGAC